TTAGCCTGTGCTGTGACCAAATTAATGTTACTGTTTGAGGAAAACTGTAGTCAGTAAAACCTTTTTCACAGCAGCCATTTTGACATGAAATAGTAGGGTAAATGCAGGGGTTACCAGTGATAACAATTAAGGGTATGTTTTTTTGGGTCAAACAGAGTAAGGAAATAGAAATGCTCTGCTACACCAGAAGAAAAGGAGCCTTTGTTTGTATCATTAGTAAGATCTGTGTTTACCCCATTTCATTTTTATGGCCATATTTAATCATTTTCTGACATTTTATTGACTGATCGATCAACCAAGAGATCAAGCACTAGATTAATCGGTACCAAAAATAATCGTTAGTTCTGGTTGAAGGTTAAAAACTACATAGATAAGTTTTAAAGTTTTAGTTTTTTGTGGTTTGGGGTCATTCCTCTCTCAGGTCTGGTGGTAATTCCAGGAGTAAACGGGATCTTTTGAAAGCTTTCACTTATATCACAGACAGCCGTTTTGCAGTTTGGCCTTTCTCCTATTAAATCATTTCCCGGTGTGACGGGAGTCAGTGGTAGTTTTTTTTTTTTATCGCCCCATCTGTGACCGATGTCAGGGAGGAAGCGAGTGTTCAGATCGGTGAAGGGATAACAGATAGCGAGCCAGTAAAACGGAGGCGGTTTCTTTTGGACAGAGCGTCCCTGAGAGCGATTACATGGCAACGATGGAAAACGTCCAAGGACAGCTTGGAAGAGACGATCTCTGGCTGACCGCCCTCTTTTTTTCTTCTTGTGTTTTCTCCCTCTGGTCTTTTCTATTTTCCTCCGTCAGTCTGTCCCTCTGTCCTTCCTGCCCTCCCTCTCTACATTTCTTTAATGTTCTTTTTGTTATCTTTATTTCTTTTATGCACTCTCTTATTTATCGATCTTTCTGCGTCTTCTCGTCTGCCTTCTTTTTCCTTCCCTTTTGTTTCATCCCTCTAATATTGTCCATTTTCCATTTCCCTTCCCTCCTCACGTATTTCTCACCTTTTATGTTTTTTTGCTGCTTTTTCAGTGAACAGTAAAGTTCATCAGAATCAGATGCTTCTGTTCTCTCTGTTTAGCTTCTATACAGTTCATTAATATTGGTTGTTATTGGTTGCTTGGTTGGTCTGTTTGTGCATTTGAAGTAGTATAAACAGCTGTGGATTACCATGAAATCTGGTACGGACATTTAAGGTCTCCAGATGATCCTGCACATTTTCCTGCACTTTAGTTCACAATAGCATTTAAACATTTCTTTTAGCCTGAGTTGTATTTTTAGATGAATTGTTTTGCAGCATTGTTAATATAATAGCATTATCATGTCACACTAAATATTAACATGTTACAGGGACTCTAACTGCACTGGATCATTTTTCACTATTTCCACAAAGTTTGCTTTGTCAGTTTGTCACAGCGGATTGCTCAACATACTTTACCCATGAGCCTCAGCTGCTTATGGAGAAGATCCACCCAAAACTATTGTGAAAACTGACCCAGAATATCTTTAGCTTCAGCTCATAGTTTGATGAGAACACAACAGGTTTTTCAGCTCTGTGATTGGATTTTTTTTTGTGTGCACCATGGGAGTTGTAGTTGATGTCTTTCCCTCAGTTTTTTGATGTCAACAGCGTTTTCCTTATTGACTACAACGAAATTTCTTTCCTAGTTGCTCATCTATGCTGCAGATTCAACCGGGAGAGTTATTAACTGTCTTTAACTAAGAAAATAACTCAGATTAACTCTTTGCTACTTGTGATCTTGAAATATAGTAAAAGAAATAAAAAGGAGTTTTTAAATTGCAAAAACTAAAGAACTGCTGTGAATTTTCTCTCCCCAGACCTACTCTCACCATGACCCAGAGGAACCTGACAGGAGGTTGTAATGTGAACTGTGGCTGTAAAATCCACGAGTACGCTCCGGTCTGCGGCTCCGATGGCATCACGTACTTCAACCCCTGCCTGGCTGGCTGCAGCAGCGTCGCCAACGACAGCACCGGGGTAAGAGACAGATATAGTTGATAATGCAGTTGAACATCTATGATTTCAGTGCCAAACTTAAAAAGTTAAACATAAACAAATAATGTTTCTATACTAGGGCTGTACGATATGGTTTGCAGTTTTCTTGGTAATGATATTGAAGTAAAATTGCCTAAAACTCCACTCCACTTTCCCTAACTACCCTTCAGATTCGTAACTACTCAGACTGCGCCTGCGTCCAGAGCCGGCAGGTCATCACGCCGTCGTCCAGCGGTCAGGGCAGCAACCAGCTGCAGCTCGTCATTGTCAAGACCTACCTGAACGAGAATGGCTACGCTGTGTCAGGGAAGTGCGACCGCACTTGCAGCACCCTAATCCCCTTCCTCATCTTCCTCTTCATCGTCACGCTCATCACTGCCTGCGCCCAGCCCTCCGCAATCATCGTCACCCTCAGGTATGACCTGCTCACTGTCATATTTTTTAGAACAAAACTGATCTGTTGAACTTATGTTCTGAAATAAATCTCCTGAAACCTTCTGAAGTGTATTTACTTTTGGTTTTATGACCCCAAAGTGTAGAATTAGTTTGAAATCATGCATCTTTTAAACTGATAACTGCCATCAGAAGTCACCTAAGTCAGAAATCCTACACATACAGGAATTAAATTCAGTCCTATCCATACCCTGTTACCTGTAGACACCCTGCTGCCAATTGTTTTATTCCCTGTTTGCAAGGTAACAAACAGGAGTTAAAACGGTTGGCAAATGCTGGTAAATGAACTCCTACTTGGAAGTTCTGTGGCAGATAACCAACCATGATTCAGCAGTTACTGGAGCTTAAACACAATCATAATCTTATATATGATTATCACTTTTTACAGTTAAAGGCAATAAGATGGGAAGTTTCAAATGCTGATGGAAAGCTACAAGTTGAGGAGTTCTTATTCTTAGTCTTAGGGCTCAATTCTGTCTGTTTTTACGTACAAGCTTTTAGTCTTTCAGTTTGAATGTTCACCTCTTGTATACGTGATGATTATGGAGGTCAAATTCTCTTGATATAACGCAAACAGCTTCCTTTTCCCCAACTTGAAACACGCTAACAAAACGCAGTAAATCCCATTAATCTAGCTGTCCATGTAGTTCAAAACAAGTAACAATGACTTTATTTGGTTCACTTTATCCTCTATCATGATGTTCCTCAGTCTTGACCTATTGGAGTGGTTTATGTGTTGCAGGTCTGTAGCGGAGCAGGAAAGGCCGTTTGCTCTGGGAATGCAGTTTGTTCTCCTCAGGACTCTCGGTGAGTAGAAAAAAAACAGGATTTCTGTCATAATTTTTTTTTACTGTATTTGGGTTTTTTTACATGAAAAAGTCTAAATGGAAAGGTAGAATACCAGCAGTGTTGTCCGTGTCAGTACCGCCGTACGCAAGGACGAGAGCGTCAGCTAAATACATTGATCGTAAATGGACTACACATTCTGTAACTGCTGAGCAAAGAGCTGATTTAGCGTTAGCAAATAAGATGTTGTCTCTTTAATGCCTCGACATCACCGTTCCCCTGAATAAGGAGTAAGGAGATAAATTGGATTTGATACATGGGATGTTCAGAAAGCTGCTGTCAGTATGAATCAGTCAGAATTAACCAAGCAGGCAGAGAAATAAATGATGCTTTGCATAATGGGAAACATAATGCAAGAAATCAGTGTGTTTGGAGCTAGTATAGGATATCTCATCTGCTGCAGCTGTGACCTTTTTCATCTGTTTCTCACAAGTGCAAAAGTAAAAATAACAGAATTCAGATTTATCCTTAGTTTGGTCAAATTTCTCTGCTCATGAGTTTTCTCTGTTCTCTCTCTCGTCCTTGTGTCTCCTCTCTTTCACCTTTCATCTCTTTTCACTTCCTCCCACCATTTTTACCCTTTTCTGTATTTGTACTATTTTACCATCTCTTGTTTCTTTTCTTTCTGTTTCCTTCTCTGTGTTCCCCCTCTCTTCTGCACTCAGCCTACATCCCGACACCCATTTACTTTGGCGCCGTCATCGACACCACCTGCATGTTGTGGCAGCAGGACTGCGGCGTCCACGGCTCCTGCTGGGAGTATGACGTCACCTCCTTGCGCTTCGTCTACTTTGGCCTCGCCGCCAGCCTCAAGTTCCTCGGCTTCCTCTTCATCTTCCTCACGTGGTACTCCATCAAGTACAAGGAGGAGCGGGTGGAGCGCTGGCTCAAGCGCCACCTGTCGCCCGTCGACACCGTGGGCAGCCTCGTCTGCCACCCGGGTGGCCACAAAGGTCATGCCCGCACCCGCTCCTGCCCCGTCAACATCCCCCGAACCGACCCCAACGCCCTGCACGCTAACGCTCCGCCACGCGCCGGCCCCCTCAACCGCGGTGTCAGCACCCAGAGTTGCCCTGGCAACGAGCTTAAAGCAATAACTCCTCCCCCTCCGGCCACGCCGTCTCCTGCACCGCCGCCTGCCCCCGCGCCGGCCCGTTCGCTGGAACACGTTTCAGTCCGAGTCTGAGTTTCAGAAGGGGGCCGATGAGGCAGGTCTCACCCACTGACATTTCTTTTATTCTGAAATCCAGTCAGCTGGATTTTAGCTGCTGTCAAAGGCACCAATTATCACGTGGAGGTCCTGCTCTCATCTCACTGTTTTACCAGTCACTCTTGTTGGCTGGTAAAACACTCAGTGGCTTTTAAGTTTTGTCTTCACCACCGGCCTCTGTGGGTCGAAACACCATCACCTGGATGTCCTGATTTACTCAGAACCTCCGGCCCAATGGTGAAAAGTCGGACTAATCTGCGGACCAACCAGCCCGGAGACCCTCCTCTGACACGAAAAAAATCTGCTTGGTTGGTGAAAATTTTGAAAGCGGCCTGGTGTTTTCTTTGTGATCCAGCAGCCGGCGCAACAAGCGGACAAAGGCTTAGCTTCCCCACTTTGGATGTAGGAGAGTTCATCGCTCATAAACCCCACCTGCCCCCCGCCCTCCCTCACCTCACCTCACCTCACCTCGGCAATATGTGCCTTCTGCCACCACGGTCCTCACATGAACAGCATACGTACAAACACACACACACACTGACACACTGGACGTCCCGCAGACAGACTGTGGTCACCCTGTAGGAATAAGAGTCACCTGAACAGATACCTCAGCTTCGCCAGTCCTACGGCTTCCCCTTCACCTCTCTATCTGTGTGCTTCTTCTTTGTTTGTGTTTTTATTTCTTCACCATCATGCGAGCGATTTTTGTTTTCCGGACACTGCATATCGGCGCTCTCACGGAACAAAACAAAGAAGACAAAAAAAAAAAAAAAAACCCTATGGAAATGTGATACACTGCAATTACGTGTTAGAAACTGGAAACCGATGGCATGGTGCTATGTGAAAAACAATGTTTAGTGTCCTTTTTTTTTTGTTTTGTTCTTTTTGGTCGTGTTTTTGGGGTTAAAAGCACTTGAAAAGAACCCAACTGGACAACAGGTCACTGGGCTAATAAGCAGCTTGGCACGCACAGAATGCATTCCTGTCCCATGCAAGGCCTTTTGTTGCTCCCCTGACACAATGACGCGTAGTATTACTGCTGGAAGTCGGATTGTTTGGCTTTTGCCAGCTCCATACAATGCATCCATACATCCGAGCTGTTTCCCCTCCTGACTGGCACCCTGATAAGTAGTTTAACCTGATAAGTAGTTTAACCTGAAAAGGAACAGGATCTGCATTTTCCTCCTGACCACATTCCTGGCTGGAGTCACCGTGGTCCTCCACACGTCTTGAAGAATACAGAACGGAAAAACTACGCCTACGTTTTTCGAGGTTGGACTGGGAAGTTGTTCTTAACGGACTGTATTTCTGACTACTTAACAAGTCTCAATGAGAGATAATCATCTACCAACACCAACATCTGTACTGAACATGTAGGCAGACGTAGTAGACCATCAACGTAGAGGTCATAGTATAGTCTATTCTTCGTCAGCTCCGGAAATGAAAGCTGCCGGGGAATTTTGGGATGGATCCTGGGTAGAAAGTTAGTTTCTCGCCCTGCATCATATTGGTTAATTGTACAACAGTAGTCCCAATGATTTATGGGTAATGACCTTCATGCCTAAGAGAATAGGATTTGCAGTTTTCTTTGCCACATTCCAGACCAGACAAGAGTTTGCATACATGCAAGTTTAAAGTGTGGAAAACAAAAGAAAGGCAACAGTCTTTCAGGTCGAGAAAAAAATGAGAAATTTTAGCAAAATCACTGGTAATGTACACAAATGGCTACCGTTCACTGTTGAGCTGCAGCTAATGATTGTTTTCTTAATCTATGAATCTACTTATTATTCTTTAAAATGAATTAATTAATTGCTTGATCTAAAAAAACAAACTCAAAAATAAGTGAAAAAAATAATTCCCATCACAGTTCAGAGCCCAAAGTGTGACGTCTTCAAATGTCTTGTTTTGCTCCAAAATCCAGAGATTTTTCAGTTTTCAGTGATTTATAAAACAGAAAAACACAGAAAATGCTCACATTTACATAAATGTTTAGTGTTTTTGCTTGATAAAATGTTACATTTCTGTCAGTCGACTGATCGCTAATCATTCTAACATTAGATCAGTCCCCAGTAGTTCAAGTAGTTAATGTGCAGAATGAGTCATTATTACACTGTAAAAGAAATCTTCATCGTAAGTAGTTTTTGTGTGTTATTGAGCTCTAAAGATTCTTGTTTTCTTGGTGAAAAAAAATCTGCCAGAGAAGAAAAATCATTGCAGCCTGTTCTTAAATACAAATACATTTTTCATAGCTGATCTGGAGCTTTCGACAGCATCACATGATCTTCATCAGCAGTTGGGAGTTTGCCCCCATTTCTCCGAGCACAAGGATTTCTCTTCCGTCGTTGCTCAGAAGTTGAGGTTCATTCTCGACCTCAGGAAACAGCAGTTGACAATACACTAGGTCCATTTAGTAATTGCTCTGGAGTTTTCAGTCATATCTCACGAGCTTCATTCGAAGAAACCAACCGTCAAGTGTACAAATCCATGATGATTGGACAAACTGTATACCTGCTGATGAAGATCATGAGATGTGATTGAAACAGAACAGCTGATGAGTGTTTCTCACAACTCAAAAGGTCATAAATTAACTTTGAAGCTCAAAAAAATCAACTTGTTTCAAAGTTTTATCTCTATTTTTAAAGAAGATTGATCTCACCGCGCTGGCAGATTTTATTCTCTTATTTTAAGATCTACAGGACTCAGTAACAAACACAAAAGACTCGATTAGATGAGTTTTATTGCAGTGTAGTGGACGTCACACCAAAATCTCTACTTTTTTTAAAGGTAATCTGGCATTTAAAAAAGGAAGATGCATTATAATTATTTGTTTATGTTTCAGCTGTAACAATTCAACCACATTTAAATCTTCTTAAATTCAAAAATTAGTTAGTTGGTAAAATAGTGAAAACTTTGAGATTTAGCAGCCTATGGAAGCAAAGAAATGTCGTAATAATTTGAGTTTTCCTTATTGTAAAGTTGAACCTCTACTGAATAACTTAATGTTTGTGGTTTGAATTCACATCTTTGAAACTTGCAAACGAAATTTAATTTTTCTTTTTCACAAACTTTTTCTAATTTTGACCTTAATTATGAAATTTAATTGAATTTTTTAATTTGTTTTTTGAATATTAGACACACGTATGAGTCCTGAAACCAACATAATTATTCACTAATGGTTCCATTTCACAGTTCGGTCACTCATAAGAATCAGATAATTAAGGCGATCATTTGCTTCCACTGTTGTTCGGGGGTGATATTTTCTGATTACCCCTGAAATTCATGTGACATTTTAAAGGGTTAGTCCAAGGCATTTCTGAGCTGTGAGAACTTGAGTAACACGTTATGCATTTTTTTCAACAACTTAAAGCAGTATTATTTCTTAATAATCCACTTATTTCCTTAAGAGCAGCCTCATGACAGGCAGTGTTACAGCAGTGATGCTCAGATCGTATTTGTTTGACTTCTGTTACAAATGCCTCATTTGCACGGTTTCTTTGCCCCCGCTGACCCTGAATCTTCAGACCTTAATGAAGACACTGTGTTTGGGATGGTGGTGATGCCTGTGGAGGTTCAGTGTTACATGTACTGTATATACATATATATATATACACA